AGGGTCTTTCCAGAGGGAGAGTTACACCAGTATGTCACAGTGTGAAAAAGTAGAAGATGAGCAGGACGAGACAGAATGCAAAGAGTATATAAGGAGAAGCTTTGTGAGGATGAATTCAGTCTTTCCATGGATGGCTCGGGCTTTGTTTGTCTGTAAAGATAATAAAGCTCTATTCTGCTAACAACCTTGTTGAATCCTGATGATTATTTTACACTAGAAGAACAGTATTTTTGAACCAAAATTAGACTCAAATTCTGTATGTTGGGACCAATCTTCTGATCAAATAAAAACCTGTTCTGACAGAGACACAACAACGTGTAACAATAACTACATTTCAAAGACACTGAAAATCTGAATCATAAATGTTGACATTACTTGGTCATTTTCAATTTAAGGCTAGCTTAAAATTTGTTTAAAGTCAAAATACAAAGATTTCTTCTTCAAAAATTCATTCATTTTCATTCAGTTTCAGATGTACACATTAAAGCAGAATGTTAAATGAACCTGCCACTGCCATCGGTGCCAATAACTATGAGATGCACATATATTATAAAACATCCAGAGTGTGTTTGAAAGGAGGTGGCATCTGTACTGATAACAGCCTCTTTTTGCCAAATCCAAAACACATTTCTGATGGTTCAAAATGTCGACAGTCATAGCTTAGCTTTTCTCCAAACTGGAGGGTGTAAAATCTTCATTTTAGCCAAGTGATGAAGCAGCTTTCTGACTTCAGACGTTGAAAGCTGCAAACATGTTGGGGATGCATAATGCAGCCAATAACTGTTTCAGAAACAAATCAAACTCCCCAATCTCCTTTAGGATTTGCCCGAAGTTACTCATATTGACATGTAGCTGTTGCAGTGCTTACTCAAAGTGTAGTGGGAGATATGTATGAGCCTAGCTCTAAGTACCATAAGTCTAGCACCATATATGAATATATCTGATCTTGCTAATCAATCTTTAATCAATTACAACCCAAGTGTGATGGGTATTGGATTAGTACTCGGTTTTAGCTGTTATGCAAAGGTCATGTATTGGAATCGGGCTGAAATTTTTTTTATCTTAACATCTCTAGCTAATTAGAGATCTAGGACTGCAGAGGTAAAGGTAAAGCTATAGATTAGATTAGATTAGATTAGATTACATTCAACTTTATTGTCATTGCACAAGTGCATCGGTCTTTCATTTGTGGTATAATTTCAGTGCTGAATTAGCATGATACAGTAACAGTATCACCAGAATCACAATAAGAATCAGCTTTATTGGCCAAGTATGTGTTTGCATACAGTACAAGAAATTTGACTCATTTGTCTCAATGTACTTACAGGAATAACAAATAAAGAAAAACTGGAAAAGTACTAGAGAGCACAATATTGAGACAGACATTTTCTGTGCCAGCTTGCATCCTAATTTATTTTGCCTACAGAAAACCTTTCTGCAAAAGGGGTCATTCAAACAAATCAGTCAGAAACAGACTTGACCAACTCACAAAATAAAGATTATCATCAATAAGATAGCCAGCTACAGCTGATCAAATCTGCTGGTCACTTGCTAAAAATTTCTACTTCTGCCTGAAATCAGGGACCCGCATCTAGATTAAAAGCCTTTTGGTGTCATTTGGGCAAGTGATTTATTTTTTAAGATCCTTATTTTTTGGTTTTTTATTTGTTTTTGATAGTTATATCAGGAGAGAGACAGGGAAGGAAGGTGAGAGAGAGAGGGAGTGACATGCAGCAAAGTGCTCAGAGTTTAGTTTAGCTTGCATTTCGTACCTACAAAAGGTTGTGATATCACAGATAGGCAATACATAAGTAATGAGCAATAATAATGATCAAAGCGACTGATTACACTTTGAAACACAAGATGTAAGACAACAGATTTTTATTATGTTTTGGGTTTTTTTTGCCACAAGGGGGCAGGACTCCATGACAAAAACATTATAGGCACTGTTGCAGTTGTTATTTACACATCCAGCAGACATGGAGCAACTACAGCATTCATTTGTTGTGTTTCTGGCTACATAATACATGTACCAACTCTCAGTCACTCAGTCAGTGTTCCTCTGTGTTTAACACACAGTTACTAACTTTATCCACATCAATGACAGAACAATTGTGCAAATTTGCAGCTCAAAGATGAACAAAAGTGACTCAATGTAATTAGTTACTTTGTACTATGACATGTCAAAATGTTTGCTTATTCCCATTTTCCATAATGCTCTACAGTTGACTTGAAGCAACTGAAATACATACAGGCAATACATCCATACACGCTATAACACGCGTACTGTCCATCATACATCAATTAAAATGAGGTGAGAAACAAATAGGTGCATAGCAAATACACACAATTTAATATACTGTATATACAATTCAATTCAAGTTATCAAACAGTCTATAAATTCTGTAGTAGTGGGTAATTTTTTAACAGATTGTAACTACAAAACATAACATTATGCTTAATAATTTACAAGTTCAACATAATTCAGTTGAAGCTTTGCATTTGGGTAACACACCAGTAATTAGAAAAAAGGTAAACTAGTTTTCCTGATATGAAAAAGCTATGACAGCCATTATGTCCATGTAAATTACATTTTTGTGCTCTTTCCTGATTTAGTGAAGGATGCCATCTCAGCAGTCCCGTTCTCTGGATTTCTGAAAATAAAAACAAGAAAATTATTGTATTTAACTACCTTGAATTTCTTGAAAGTGAAATTAGCCCTCTGTTGAGCGCATGTTCATCAACTCACGTGAGTTCAGCGTGGTCCTGGAGTTCAACATTACGAGTTTCAGGCAGTAATAAACACAAACCCCCAGCAGTAATGGGGATGATGCCATATATCAGCATGGGGATGGTGTAATGGTAGACATCCAGGAGCCTGATCAGTGGAGCAAGGATGCCCGCCACACGAGCACACATGGAGTTTAGACCTACACCATTCTGCCTAATATAGACAATGGACTTATAAGTGACCACAAAGCATGGAATAGTAACAAACAAAATATTAAGTTTTACCTCTGACATTACCTACCTTACCTTAGAGTGGTGGGGTATAGCTCTGCAGTATAAACGTAGACAATGGAGAAACTGGCAGTGGCAGCAAATTTTCCCAGTACAGCTATGACTGTTACAACAACAGGAAGATCTAATGGACAAATAATGAACACAACTGTGACACATAAATTAAACATATGTGTCAGAATGCAATGCATATCTTAGAATATTTAGATGTAGCAAGCCTCACAAGGCAAATAAAAATTACATTTTAAGAAATGCAATTTCTTGTTCTCAAGATGTAGGTACGTTCAAGACAGATTACAACAAGCTCCCATTAGTATACAACAAAGTACCTCTTGGAACTGCAAGTATTGCAAGACAAGCACAACCTCCAAGCAACAGGAGTCCTACTAGACATATTTTCCTCCCAAAGTGCTGGATAAGAGGTAAACAGCCCAGACGTGCAGGGACTTCAACTACGCCAAAGATGAACTGTGTGAGGTAGATATCCAGACCGAAATTTCCAACGTTCAGACTCAGTCCGTAGTACATCATACTTGTTCCAAACCTATTAACAGAGTTGAAGAGATACCTTCAGTGCAGCCACACAGATGTGGCTGTAGATGTTGTTGTGGCTGAGATAAATACTCACCAGATGAAGCTCATTATGAAAGCTCGTTTTCTGAGATATGATATCCTGAAGATGTCCAACATGTTTCCTCTTTTGGATGTACCCTCAGCCTCCAGCTAAACAATATAGGTGTCATTTTGTAGTTAGAGTATATTTATTTCAGTTTATCACATTTATTATTGTGTTTGATTTAGGTTGAAGCCAAAGTGTGTTTGATGCAGTTTACCTTGTCTATCAGATCTTCCGGGACATTCCTCCCATTCACCTTGGCTGCCCTCCGGATCTCCTTTATGGCCTCCTCCTTCCTGCCCTGTGTGATGAGCCAGCGAGCTGACTCTGGAAGAATCCTAATCAAGATATAGGTCCACAATCACAATTTTTTTTTTCTTCCTGTGGCTTTAATGGAGATCATCATCTAAATCCAAGTGTCCTAAGCAGCTGCTTACCAATAAAAGATTCCCAGGACAAGGATAAGAGGGCTGAAGAGCACCCACTGCAGGATCCTCCAGTTGCGGATCAAATAGGCAACTCCAGACAACATCATCAGTCCAAGAGGGAAAAAAGAGTGGCAGATAATGGTGCAGAGAGCAAACTTGGAGGAATCGCTCCACTCTCCACCTTCAAAGCAATAATAAAGAGAGAAATTGAATAATTTCTGCAATGCTTTTTTATTAAGTATGTGTAACTTATTAGCAATTTAATTTTTATAAAATAGAATATAGTTGCTGTTTGCATTGTAATGCTGCTCTTGAAAGGGCATAATAGCAAAAAAAGAGATGTAGACCTACCTATCACAAATGCATTAGCAATAATGCCTGAAATGGAGATGCCACCTAAAAATTTGAGAACAATATAAACGTAGATGTTGGGTGAGAAACCAGCACCGACACCAAACAACAGTAGGAGAAGAAGTGAGAGCAGGACTACAAAGCGTCGACCAAACCTACAAAGAGAAGAGAAGAACTGTTAGTTATTGTTAGTTAGTTAGTTAATGTGTGTATGTATAATGAGACATATGTGAATGTGTACCTGTCAGCCATCGGCCCCAACACCAGCGCTCCAACCAGAAGACCGGCCATGTAGATGGACTGTGATGCCTCAATCAAGCTGCTCCTGTCACACACAAGGTTGAACTGATAGCAGGAAGGATGGTGAAAGGAGGAGAGGACCAAAGAAAACACCAGACATATTCTAGGTTAGTAATTAGAAATAAATGGAAACCATTTAAGTTGTATTTTTGCATCAGTATCTCTAACAAACCAAACTATTGCTGACCAGCATGTACCATAACCAGGATACCAGGCAAGTGCCATAACTAAATGCAGTCAAAACAGTATAGTGGCTTAGAAGGGACAAAAAGTCAAAGTCAACTGTCACACCACACAGAACAGCTGTCACACTACTTAAAAGGACCAGTGTGTGGGGTTTAGAAGCATTTATAGCAGTATAGTTGCAGATTTGCAGCGTCCTCTCCTTTCGAGCACAAAGAAGAAATATGGTGGTTGTGAAACACACAAAAAACATGAACAGCCCTATCTAGAGTCAGTGTTTGGTTTGGCCGTTCTGTGCTACTGTACAAATATGGCGGCCTCCATTTCTGCAAACAGATCCTCCTAAATGTAACACAGTAAATTATACAATAGAATATATTCTATATTCTTACAAACACTAGTTATTTCTCTGCAATCTGACAATAAAAAATAACCCTCACATACCCACCCTGGTGGTCATATTGTTTGCAGCCCCATACGCTGTGATGCACTGTGTGTTCCGACACCTTTCTATCAGAACCAGCATTAACTTTTTCAGTAGTTTGAGCTACAGTAGCTCATCTGTTGACCCAAAACAGGGCCAGCCTTCACTCCCCACATACATCAGTGAGCCTTGGCTACCATGACCCTGTCGCCAGTTCACCCCTTTTCCTTCCTTGGACCACTTTTAATAGGTACTGACCACTGCAGACCGGGAACGCCCCACAAGAGCTGCAGTTTGGAGATGCTCTGACCCAGTCGTCTAGCCATCACAATTGACCCTTGTCAAAGTCGCTCTAATGCTGATGCTGCCCATTTTTCCTGCTTCTGACACATCATCTTCTAGACAAAATGTTCACTTGCTGCCTAATATATCCCACCCACTGACAGGTGTCATGATAACCAGATAATCAGTGTTATTCACTTCACCTGTCAGTGCTTGTAATGTTATGGCTGATCGGTGTAGTATACAAATTCTTACTTACTAAAGTAGGTTTTTACATTTGAAGTTTCAGTTAGCTTTGCACAGAAACAGCTGGTAGAAATGTCCTTCAGAGAAACTAAGAGAGTTTTCACTGTTATATTTTGAGTACATTTCAGAACCTAAGTACTTTTTCACCTTATAATAAAGAAGTTTAATCAGTGCTTCTTTTTTTTTTTTTTTTACCCAAATACACATGTATCTGTATTTGTACTTGAGTAAAGAATGTTTATTTTGCCACCTGTGCTCATTTATTTTGCCCATTGGAGGTAATGGGATGCATACAGTACTGTACTGTGTCATGTTGTCAGCTCTCACAGCACCCAGGAACCAGCTCTGTAGCTATGAAATGAATGAATACCCCTTGTTCCAAAAGGGTTCCAGTAATGGATTAAATGGTGTGAAGTTGGAGTCTTGTCCT